CCAGTTTTGGATTTAGCTGAAGTCTGCTGGTTAAACTTGTGTAGTCTGTTGACTTGTGTGCTTGCAAAAAAGGTCTGCAGAGAGAGCAAAGGAAGTTCAAGGCTACTTAGAAAAGAATGCAAGCATCCAAGCTGAAGAGGAGGCCCCCACCGTCAGAAAAAGTGAATCTGGGTTACAACTGAGTGCCCGGCCTCATCCCAGTGTGAGTAAAAGTTTGAGGTTTTGCCGGCAGCCGTCGCCGAATGCTGCCGGGGGTGGAGGGGTCCCCAGTCGACAGGGCACCGTGGGAGGGGTGTAATTTTAACTCAGGTCTCGGGACACAGCTGATGGCTCCTTTACAAGACTATGTACATGTATGTTAGAAATACGGGTAGTAATTAATGGAAATATACGGTGTATTAAATGGATATAGACAAAATAAACCGGGGAAGAAAAGAGGGGAGGGGGGGGAATTCCTCTCATTCCCTTCAGGTTAGAAAAACCAGCCTGGAGACACACTGCGAAAACGCTGCAGATGGACATTTACATCAGAAGGGAGCTGCAGTTGCAAAAGGGACAAGTGGCCAACGACCCTACACCCAAGTGATGGCACCAGATGAGATGCCTGTCTGGGGACCATTGACACCCTGACTCTCAATGCCCAAGTCCTGGAAACCAGGATGATGCCTATCTGGGGACCACTGGCACCTTGGACCAGAATGCCAGGTTACGGGAAACCAGGAAGACGACCATTCTACTCTTGGACAAGAGGTTTTTGTGCAGCAGAGAAAAGAAACCACCTTGAATATGGGGAACTCTGAAAGAAACAAAGAACTACTAGCCGCGGGCAAATTAAACAGTATAAGAATAAGAACTGCGTCTTTGAGGCAGATCGTGTGGACTTTGAGGCAAATTGTGTGGACGGGGTGGATCTGGTACTAGCGAGGCCATTTCCCACGTTCACCTGCATGACTGTCCGGGAGTGATACGCTGTCCGTTTTTGGTGGTGGCTGTCGGACTGTTATTACGGTCGCGAAATAAATTTTATTTTTCATATTTTTATTAAAATTGGCTGACTCGCAATTTTCATTTATAACATGTAGAAGCAATTCCCTCACTTTCATCTAATTTTTATGAAAAAATTTAATACATATCACAAGCAATGTGCAATTCTGTTTTTTTCCTGTACACTATTTGTACAAAGGACCTGGGCACAGCACGCAGTCGTGATTCAATTGAATAAATCCTGGTTTACATTTCAAAGGTTCTCGCTGTGAAAAACATGCTGAGTCTCCTGTGAAAATTTTAAAAATTTATTAAAGGACAATAATAGAAGACAGGGACCATGAAGAAAAGGTTATTACGGCTGGATGCGTCTTGGTACTGAGCCAAGACGACCACACTGTTACCTTTGGGGATACCCCTTGAATACCTTTTCCTTTACATCAGCCTGTTGCATATTCATAGACCCTTATGCATATCCATAAACTAGATGACATTTTCCAGGAACTATTTTATATGGCCCCTCTTTGGGTCTGCCTTTTTAGAGCATTCCTGTTTCTTGGCTGTGGTTTTGGCTCCTTCTTTTTATCACTTCCAGCTTGTGCCTTGGTCCATACTTTCGTCAGATGGTGCGTGCTGGTAGTTGGCAGATCTGTACAGGTGTCCTCATCCTGTGTTCATTGGATGTTATCCCATCCAAGCAGGCATTTTAACACAAGCACAGCTATTTCACTACTATGTCTAAGCTTAATTAACAATAGAAATACAAACTATATCTTTATAACAAAGTTATATTAACATCACACATATAAAATAAATTTTAATATTTGTGAAAAGCCAGTATTATAATATGTATCTAAAACACGGCTCTAGCACTGCATGTTTGCAAATCTCGACTGGAATGTTCAACTATCCTCGTGGACACATTCAAGTATGTGTGCAGCCCCAATTCCAGCCCTGCAGTGATGACAGCTCCAGCCCTACAGGTCCCCTTCCCAGCCGCAGTGATTTCAGCTCTTGACCCACAAGCTTTATTTCACTACCAGCTCTGCTCCGCTAGCTCTGCGTTTCTCCAGCTTTAAAGGGCAGCATCTTGGTCTTGGCTCCAGCTCTGCAACACTTCAGCTCCCACCCGAGGGTCTCTAAGCCCACCCCACCATCAATATCCCAACCCCGCTGTGATTTCAGCTCCCGCCCAACAATCCCCAATCACCATGCCAGTCTCTGCATCATTCACCTCGATGCCCAAAGACGGCGGCGCCCATCACGTGATACCGGACAAAGATGGCGGCTACCGGGACGGGGTCGGTGTTGTCGGTTTCTGGCGGTTTTTTCGTGCCTCCCGCGCGCCCCCGTGCCAGTGGTGCTATTCCGGTGCACCCGCACCGGAAGGCGCCTCGGAAAATTGTTTTTAAAGTGCGGGATCGGTGTCGAAATTTCGATCAGGCAGCTGACAGGACGGCTAAAGGTTGGGGTCTTTTTCTGAGGCACTGGAGGGCGGTGTGCGGGCACCGCGCGGCGTTCGCCGGCAGGGGGCGCCGCGCCGCTCACGGTTCGCGGGCGGGGCGGCGGCGCGAGGAGGGGTGTGGGGTGAGACGCGGCCGCGGCGGGGTTTGTGTGAGGGGTGGGCTTGATGGTGACTGACAGCTCTGTTGGAAGACTGCCCGTTTAGCTAATTAAATCATGATCCAATTAACTCTTGGTTGTCTAATTTAACTGGTGCTGTGGATGTGCGTACTGTTGCAGTGGTTAATCGATTTCAATATTAGATACTGCCAGCTGGAGCACTAATCAGGGCCCCCTATAGACTATGTATAAAAAAAAAGAAGAAAAACTGTATGTCTGGTGCAGCACTAGAAAATTTCAGACTCCCACGGAGTAAATATGAGTAAATATTTTCTTTAAATCATTTTTTGAAGGTTTTTGGGTTTTTTTACTCCCAGGGAGCAATGATACAGATACGGCATTTTGTGACCTCTACGAGCACAGAGCAAGCGCCGCGGGAACGCGCTGGGGAGTGCACGGCACAGGCAGCTTCCCCTGGAACCGCTTCCTCCTCCCCGTTTGAGCCCGCCCTACCGCAGAGACCGCGGCGATATAGAGGCGACGCCGGAGCGCTGGCATCAGGCCGAGCCTGGCCGCTCCGGCAGCGAGCCCGGCACGGACTACAAGTACCATGAGCTCCCATGTGGGTACTACGGGTCCCACAATACCTCACGGCGCCTGGTATCTCCGCTTCGGTCCCGATTTAAATCCAGGCAGTGAGGAAAATGGCGGTGCGGGGCTGAGTGTGGGGGAGATGGAGATATAGCTGAGCTTTGGCTCATTTCTCAGGTGAGTGGCGTTCGGAGGGAGGGAGTGAGTAACGAATGGAGAGAGGGGAGTTCTAGTCCGCGTTTCCCTGCCTTTAGTGCTGGGGTGGGACTGGGATGGCGGAGGGAGCGCTGCCCCTTGCCGGGGAAGGGAGAAGCTTGGGGTGGCCTTGAAGGGCCGCTCTTTTCTGTCTTTCGCCCCCCTCCTCAATATGAACGTGGCTCCCTGAGGGGAGGAGGAAGGGGAGCGTAGATGGGTTGTGTGTGAGGAGTATTCCCAGGGCTGGAGATGAGGGAATTCCCCGGGCAATGTGTGGCTGCCTTTACCTCTTTCTAGCCATTGTAACTTTACTGGTGACTGAGTTTTGAAGGGGCATTCCTGGGCCAGTGGCGGGGAATTGATGCGTAGACTGAAGGCTTCCCGTGTCGCCGTGTGATGTATATCTAAGCGTGGTGATTTTGGGTGGAGGTTCCTCGTAGAATACAAAGAGACCTGAGGTCGCTGTGGACCTGGCTTTAGAATCGTCTGACCCACGATTTCTCAGTCTGAGCAGAGGCGGGGTGTGGGTGAAATGGTTAGAATGGCCCTCTCTACCATTCATCTGAGTTTATCTGGTACCGAAGCGGTTCCAAAAACCTTGATATCCGCATTCTGCTGGTCATCCTGTAGCCTCGGTAAGTTTTAGAGCTGACTTCTCTTGTCTCCTTCTTATCTCTGGTAATAAGAAAAGGGATGAAAAACACTGGAACTGAAAGGTTCATTTCCATTCCTCTTATCAATTTCTGCCTCGTAGCTGTAATGCAACTGTTATTGAGGGGTGGAGATGAGATTCCCACCCCACCACCACTCCCCGGCTCGGGTCGCATGCCACTGTAGGTGTTACTGTTTCTGGGATATAAATAGGGTGATTAAGAGTTAGAATGTAGCGTGAGGTTGAGATTATTCCCACGCTTCTCTTTCTTTGGTTCTAAAGTTGGTACTGTTTGTGGTTTCTGCTCCTACTCCTAAGCACGGTCAAGTTTTCCTTCAAAAGCGAAGCTTCTCAGTTTGTCAGCTCGTATTCAGACTCATTTGAATCCTCAGTATCTTCTTCCTCTTTTACATAAAAGTTAACAGAAAACAATATGTTAGAGTTTAACTAAAATAACAAGACAAAACAAAAGGAAATCTGAATGTGTGAGGGATGGCAATTTCTAGTGTGTGGTATGTGTAATACATTTTAAATGGATTATTAAAATTAGCTGAAAATTTTATCATCACCATTGTAAAAAGAAATATCTTCTCATGGAATATTTTCATCTTAAAATGTTCTGCTTCACATGAAACAAAGTTGTATGTTCTGAATACAAAATGTATCTTCATGGAAATAGTATATGAGTAAAAACCAGAGAATAAAAGCTTGGGTTTAGAAGAAACAGACAAAATTGGGCTCGGGGGGGGGCTTTTTGTTTTGATTCATTTTTGTTACTTTTTTTTTTTTAAACAAGATTGTGCATTATGACACGCAGTAATTACATTTACTGTTAACTGCTGTTACGACTACTGTTCAACTGACTGTTGTAAAGAATTTCCTTCAACTCTGTTATTACTACTGGTTTGGGTTTTTTTAACCAATACCAATGGATTTGATGGATTCACTGGTGACGTGTGAAGATAGAGTCTGTGGGATACGGGAAGTGATAGACAAAATAAACCCAGCATTCAGCCTCACTTTAAGTACCTCTCCTCATTACAGTGTGTTATTACCAGTCTGATTTTATTTGGAACGTGACTTGCGTGCATTTTGGGCTCGCCTGTGGCTTTGTGTTTCTTTTAACTGTTCCTTTGAGGCCCTTGTTCACCCTGGCTTTGGATTTATTAACTTGGAAGTTTTGCAATGCCTAGTTACATTTTGGTTTGTTTGAAATTTTATCACTTATGTATACCCTAACATATAGCTAGAGACAAAGTGTAGATTAGGAAGAAGCAGCAAATCTGTTTTACAATGGAACCTTATCTTTTGATCATGGTGGGGGTTTTTTTTATTAATAGTGGGCAAGAAATCATAATCACAAAGCTTTCATTATTAATATCTGTGGTACAGTTTCCTAGAAAGGGGGGGTGTTTTTATTTTTCAAGAACTCAAAGAAAGAAAAGGTGTCTTGATTATATTTGCCTGCAAAATTAAACCGTTTGTAGCATGTGAAAAGGTATTGGACACTAGAGTTTGACACTACAGGCTGCTTCAACTCCTGCGTTTAAGTGGGTCTCTCTTGAAAACGTGATCTTAAAGGACTGTACCATACAAGATCTTCTGCATTTCACGTTCAAGTTTCTTGAGTATTTAGAAGTATCTTAAATATTCTTCTGATTTGTTTTAATTAAAAAAAAAAAAAAAAAGGAGGAGAATGGGAGGTGAGGAATAGTATCCTTTATGCCAAAGACACCTGACCTGGGGCAGCCTGGTTAGGGTTAGGCTTCACAGAAGAAAAGGGGGGTTGAAAAAACCAACTAAAACCAAAGAGAAAAAAAAAAAAAAAAAAAAGGAAAAAAAAAAGAAGCTTTTAGGGTCTGGTTTAGTATCTGCTTTGCAAGTTGCAAGAAAAGAAATATGAAAAGGAACCGCAGACATTCTGGTCTGGATGTTAGCCTTAGAAATTTTCCACTGTTTCCTTTAATAACATGCAGGCATGCTTTTATTGCTGGATTTCTAGTTAGGAATCTTTTTCTGACTGGAACTTCAAGCTATTTGGTGAACAAGTGCTTGCTGAAAATCAATTGTCAAGAAATAAATTCTCATATGAGAGACTGTGCATAAACCACTCCCATGCTAAGTATCAACTACTACTTATATTAATTTAGTTTCTTGTTTTACAGTGTGTTAACTGTTCCTATTTCTACATGATCACTGCTAGGTGACAATACATCTTTTCTTGCTTCCAGTGGTAATTCTGGACCAACCTTTCCTGTAAGGACTGTATGCTGCTAAGGTAAAAATGTTAATTATCCTATCTTTAATATAGAAAGGAAGAAAGGCATTAGGAAACACATCTCTTCTAAAAGAGTTAAAGACTATTTAATGGTTATTTTTAAAATTATCGTAGTTTCAGATGCAATGGTGAAAATCAAGCTGAAGGGATCTACAGGTTCAACCTCATTTGTCTATCTTAAATCACTTTTCTGTGTAAGTTGCTCTTATTTACTAAAAGCCACCTGACCTTTCTCCAAGATGTAGAGGACTCTGTACTTGGAATGTGCCTTGTCTTTCTGTCACTACAGATACTTATTGTTGGCTTATGCTGTTTTGGGATAGGGCCTAAAGAATCCTTCATATACTGGGTTGAGGTTTTTGTTTTCTTAAATGCTGGGGTGGGAGCTAAGCTACTGTATTTTGTAAAAGGTAAGCTACATCACAACAAGCTCTTGTCTTACTAGTATTAATTGAAAATACAAAACCAGAACCCTTTAAATGCACATTTAAAGAAATGCATGTAATGGAATTTTGTCTTTTTAAGACAGCATAGTACATTACAGCTCTCGAGCCAAGTCAGGGTCATTATGCTTCCTTTTCTGTCACCTCTCTTTGTTGGGCTACTTTTTTTTTTTTAATAATTATATAAAAATTTCAACATCTGACTTCCTGGTTGCTCATAATCCTTTATCACATATTTACTGCTAATGAGAATGCTAATGACTAAAGTTAAAAGTAGAGCATGTTGAACTTGACATGAACCTTAATCTTTTCCAGCTTATGTAAGGATTGTATTGTGAATTGTGTGTTTTTTAATTGGTTGCTCGCTGATTAAAAGTACTGAAATTACTGCCATTGCTTTGTGTATCTTTTGGATATCTTATATAACTTTGTTACTTTACAAATTCGATGCAAAGTTAAAGCTTGAGAGGGATTTCTAAGTCTTGGTGAGACTTTTTCTCATATGTAGATTTAGTAACTACAGGTAGTAATTCCAGTCAGAGTGGTCACTGAAGAAGAAGCCACGGTGACTTAAGAGAACTTTCTTTTCAGGGTGACTGACTGAATATATCCCTGTCATTTGGTTTAGGAGACTTGTCCTTATTCCAGTGATGCTTTGGTCTTTATTCCTAGTGTTTTACCTAGGGAAGAAGAGGGTGTGTTATAGCCAATAGATCTTTGTTCAATTTTCTTCCACTCAGTAAATAAAAAAAGTAAATCTGAATTAATTCGTCTGTCAAAATGACAGAACGAGTGCTAAGTAGTGTACCAAAAGTTGAGTGTTGTCAGTGAAAAAAAAGTTTAGAAGATTGAAAAATACTACATTATTATACAGTCATGCTATGCCTTCCTCTCGAATGTAACTATTTCTGTAGATGCAGTATCAACGAGTAAAATGGACTATGTTTCTCTGTATTTTTAATAAGACACAGTATTTACAGCATTTCCTTCTTTCTTTCTTTCTTCTTTTTTTTTTTTTTATTTTTTTTTCTTTAATGTTGGCCTTACAGTACGAGGCAGATCTATACAAAAGCACCACAAGTGTAATGGGAAATCAACAGGAGGAAAGTGTTTTCTTCTTCACTCGTTTCAGTTACTCTCCTTAGTATCAGATGGCAGGGTTAAAAATTATAAAAAGGCTACTTTCAGATAGTGTAGAGTTTAACTACAGAACTGACTGCCACAGAATATCCAGCAGCTAGGAGGCTCAGTTGTTTTGAACCAGGAAATTTCTGAACAGTAGATTGTAAAGCTTGAGACTATGCTAAAACACATTCATATGCTTTTTCTTTCTAGGCATTCCTACTGGCTTCCGCTGTAGCAAATACTATGCTCGGTAAGTTTTCTGTCACAACTACTTTGTTTTCTCTGCGTCAATTCTCATAAACTATTGATATTTAGGAAGTTAAGAAAAGGAGAAAATAATTTCAATTCCCTTAGAAAAATAAAGGGTTTTTTTTATGTTCCTGTTTACTGTCTTCCACCTCACTTGAGGAAACGCATGGTATGACCTGGCCTTGGTATGTATCATGGTATCTAACACTGTTAGGCTTTTGAGGAATACTTGGACTATTAAAGGATGCTCCTCCTAAGATGTGGGATACAGTGTATCCTTGTGTGTATATATCCGCCTTTGATTTTTAGTTCTCTCACTAGTACTAGAGTTTTCTTCTTCCTGAAGTAATCGATAATTGTTCTGAGCAAAGTATTCATGTTATTTTGAAAGACTGATGATGAAACAGGATTTCTTAGCTAAATCTGTTCTGGGCTCAGTGCAGATATAATGCAAATCACTGCTGGGTATTTGTTTGAGGTTTGGTCATAGCTCCTGGGTTAAGCGATTTAGCCTTCAATATTCAATTAGATTGATATGTCAGCTTCTATACCTGTTGCTGGAGAGTAGTGAAACTGAAAACTTGTCTGGACACTCTATTCAGTGGGATTTTGGTCTCAAGAAAGGAAGCACCTCCTTCGGAATAATCTCTTCTTGTAAGTTCAACCTCTGTGCTCTGCAGTTTGGCAGGTGCCCTGAAATAGGTGCGCTGGCTTGGTTAGAGTAAGGTGGGATTAAAGCAAAATGAAAGAAAATTAAAGGAGATAGTTGAAGGGAAACCTTTGGAGAATGATCTCTTCAAAGGATAGAAGAATTTGTGGGTTTTTTCAGATAGCTGTGCTCATCAAAACATTATAGTTCCTAAGCCATGTTTTGCAGACAGATGACACACTGGGGTAATAGTATGAGGTGGAGACAAGTGATAAATAGCTTTTGGTCCTGACTAGATGCAGGCACTTGTTTGAGCATATTGTCTGTCATAAATCTACTTTTGATGAGAAAAAGATAGCACAAGTTTTGTTCCTAAAGAGGATTAATGATACCGGCCTTAAGTTTTGTACGCTCTTCCCTTGTGTTCCCTCCATGGTGTGCTGTGATTATCCTGTTATTGTTTGTACACTGTTACTTATAGGCTTCATCTATATGAGAATCTTAACAAGTTTTCATACTGATGAAAGCTCAGGAGTAAGGCTTTGTAGCTTTTTGGACTTTCAGTGGACTGTTAGGTATACTAAAAAATACTTACTGGACTTTGAAAAGAGAAGCTATTCTGTGCCCAGAGACAATTACTAGTAACCTTTCTCCTAATAATTTTGACAGTGCCCAAGATTATAAACTTCTGACTGCAGTGTACCTAAACATAACTTCCCACGCTGTGTGGGATGTGCTATAGCAGAGGGTCATTCACTGGATGAATGTAGTGTGGCATTTACTGTTAAGAAAACGCATTGCATCCATCACACTTCATGGCTGATCTTCTGCAACTGCATGACATAAGTGCATGACCATGTGCTCCTCAGTTAGTTACTATGGTTTTTTGCTTATCAGATGCTAATATGACAACTTTTCAGTGCAGACACAGCTGAATACTAACTTTAAAGATCAAACAATGGCTCTCCAGCTCAGTTTTGTTGAATGTTAGATACATTTCAGTTGGTCTACTTGTACGGGAACTAAAGAAAAAAATGCAAGGAAATGTAAGGAAAAAGTAATAATAAAAAAAATCTACAGCTCTGTCCTGGCATTTCCACCCGTGCACTATATAAGAATACATAAAGTTTGCTTCCTGATGATGTGAAACTGCTCAACTGCTTAGCCATTTATCTGTAAACAAGGAAGGAACTGGATCTGAAAACGTTATAAATGCTTTTGGCACTTGAAGAGGAAGGATATCGTCCCATCTGGTTTTGGTAGTTGTAGACCTCTTGTACTAACTTCCAGAATGGTTGCTAATCTTCCTAAAATTCTTGAGATTTCTATGCTAATGTTGATAGTGTCATTTTGGAGAGTTCTGTGGATAAACATTTCTGTTTGAGAAGTGCCATTTGTATTAAAAACTTTCATGAAGAAGACTGATTTTCTGCCTGCCTGAGGAATCCTTGGGAGCTTAATGTGAGATAATAGCTTTTTAATGAAAGTGAAGATACTGCTTCTTTAATAGAACATTAGAAAACTAGAAGCATAAGGTTTTTATGAAATGGAAATTCCTTGTAAAGAATAGAAAAGCTTGGACCAAAAAAGAAAAATCCAGAGGGCACTGAGAGCCTTACTTAAAAGCATACCATTTTTTCTCATAAATGGGTGGGGAAAAAAGATCCTTGATGGTAGGAATGAATGTTGTGGTCAGGATTACATACTCTGTGTCCAGTAAAGATGGGACTGTTGATGTGTGTATGCAAAATCTAAAGCATGCATGATATTAATAAAACATACCTCTTAAATCGGAACCAAAAAGAATGTGGTAATATATCTTAAAATTAAACAAAGTAGGATCAATTGTAATGTTACTTTGCTATCTTAGTGGCCCATTGTTATAATGGTTTATCTTATTATCCTATGTACTACATCCCAGTTTATCTCTGGGCTTCCCTGATGACAATGTTTTACTGAAACTCATTGCGTAATTATGCTAGCATGAATCCAAATACCATGAGCAAAGGTAGTGTTGGTCCGTCAAGGTTTTGTTCGGTCAAGCGTAAAAAAATCTCTCAGGATACGGATTCTGTAGGCTATCTGAAAGTGGTTCCAGTGTTCAATCACTATTTATAAACTGAAATTTAACTTGTTGCAGGTAGTAAAGCTTGCCTATTGCCCTTTTCTTCTAGGCCTTGGAGGAGACTCTGTGACTCTCCAATCTCTAATACCTCTCTGGGTGGTACTACTCTGTTTTATGTAGTATTGAGCAAATATACCAACCTTTGGGCTTATTCCTTTTTATTACTCCACCTTGCTTAATTTTTAAATAATTGAGCATGTAAATCTAAGATTTTATTTGACCAGAGACATGCACAATGCCACTACTTTGTGGCTTTGTTTTGAGCGGTAAATTGTAGCAGATGCTCTGTGATAACCTGACTGTATTGTGGAAAGATTAATTAACCTGATTTGGGGGGTGGGGATTCTGTTCTGTCCTTATTTTGTAATTTCACTGAAGGTACTGTATCTACTAAGCTCTGTTCACTATGAAGGAAATATGGCACGGAATATGAAAAAGAAATAGAGGAAAGGGGATCCTATTTAATGGAATGCTCAAATCTGTTGGTATAACATAAGTAGACAACTGATTTTGCTTCAAATATTGAATGGCAGGCATTTTTTCTGAACTAAATACCTCTTGCAGAATACCACTTGCAGCCAAATGAAGTGTACCTGCATATACTCAAACTTAATCACATTTTAATTACAGCATTGAGCTTGAAACATTTCCATATTTCAAGGACAAATTGAGGCTTAGACCTGGCGCCTTTGTATTAAGTAGCTGCACTTATTCCTTTCAATTAAATTAATCATGTATAAGCACCGATGCTATGCTTGGAAATGTGAACTATTTTGATTTCCTTTCTTCAGTAGCTTATTTTGGTTTTAGTAGTTTCTGATCTTGTGCTCTCAAATCTGAGAGTCTAGTTTTGCCAAAAACTCATTAACTTCATTAACAGACGGTTACTTATTGCTAGATCAATAATTAATCAAATATTATTAGATCAATGCCAAGCTCTAATCTTAAAAACAAAGAGGATGTGTGTTTTTCAATAAATTTTTTAAAGAACCTATTTTAGTGGCATGACAGAAAAAGATACTAAATAGGATTCTCAAAAGCATTCTTAAGACACCAGGCATTTAACTCCCCTTAAAGGCAGTTTGTGTGAGTCTGAGTAGACTCACACAGTATGTAAACTCTGTAATGGATGATGCTTTCCCCCCTGCCCTCTGCCCACAGCACTCAAACTCTTTTTCAGGATATGAATCTATATTTTTAAAAGTGTAATGTTTCTGGTGTAAAATAGTATATTTGCTGACATTATTTCTGTAACTTACTTCTTGTGCAAATGCATGAATAAATGTTCATAAGTACTGCATCTGCTGACTAGCAAAATGTGCCAAAGGCAAGGCAATGTGATTTATGGAGTGTATTTCTTTCATGGTCATGGGCTCACCCTTTATTGATGGATGTAAATATATTCGTTGTGATCTGTCATAATCAAATTGTTGTTTACTCTCCATTGCAAAAAGCCAGTGTGTTCTGATTTGAATGTCACTGGAACTCTCTAAATACCCATGCTGGGCAAAGGCCAAGTTAAGATACAGGTCCTCGACAGATTTCAGATCTTGATTTATGAGATGATTATCTATTACTGTGTAGTAAATTGGAAGTGATTGCACTGTTACCGCTCATGAGACTTTGTGTGGGACTGGCCCCCATCAGGTCACAGAAAAGACTACTGATAGCCTTATTTGTGTGTTGCATCATCTGTGCAGTGCACTGTTTCAGGAATCTGAAACAGTATGTGCACAGAGTATGTGCAACAAGGATTAGAGAAGTCTTGAGAGGTGGAGCTGACAATACTATTTGAAGTTTTTTGAATGACCTCATATCCTTAGTATTTTCAGTGTAAGTTTCTGTATGTCTTTAAAAAGCTTATGGAAAAAAATAGTATAATGTGCCATAAGGAAATTTCTACTTTGTTTGCCAGCAAGGTAGTCATCGAGCAGGGCGCCACCTTGGTTGCTAAACTGAGTGTGCCTTCTAAACGGGTTACTTGCTGCAGGGCCAGGAAACTGGGTTTTTAGCACTGTTCTGTGAGACCTCCAGCTACTGTTTCAAATGAAACCTTAAATAAGGAGGGAGGGAGGTAAGGGTGGCCTTTGTTAAGCCCTTGATCCTGCTGCTGCCTCATGCTTTGTGGATGCTGTGTATGGGTGCAGCAGTATAACCTAGAAAAATGTCTGTTTGCTAGCTACTGTGCTGCCAGGCACTTTAACTGCTTTGTAGCTGGCAGGTTTAA